AGAAGGAAAACAATCCATTTTTCTGAACTCCTTCAGCAGATCTGTAATAACTCTTATAACTAAATTGTGTATAAAATATATCACATGTGATGGCATAATATAAAATGTCGCATATTATAATAATATATCTGAACAGCCCAGGCAGAATTTTCAAAATTTCCTTCTCTCACTTCAACCAGAAGACTTTTCAAAGTTCACAATTTAATCCATAGTCTCCATACAGTACTTTACAAAGCACAAAATGCACTAAACATGATGGAAAATTAGGATTTATTTTTTTATTGTGTTTGTATTTGAATATTCCTATTCTAAGAGCTGATTTTTCAAAAATTAAAGAAGCCTTTCAACGTCAATAGAATGTTTATCTTTCCTCTTTTAAGTTTTTAAAATACAGCAAATGGCTAACTAAAAGATCAAAAATCTAACTGCTGGCAGCTTACATTTTACTGAGCCCTTTGAAAGATTATTAGAAGGCTGCCATCCGCTGTCTCATTCAAGCACTGCAACCAAGGTGCAAAATTGCCTCATCTGTTATAAAATTGCTTCCAGCACAACATAAAAACTGCTTCCAGGTTTACAAAATGCTAACCCTTCAAATGCCAAACACTTTTCGCACCGGGAAATACAATGCAAAGAACCGTGAAACAGAGTATTTTGGGAAAGGATTCATATCCGAATTCAACACATGCATTTTTGACAAGTGAAAATTCTATAGGGACATTTCAAGAAAAAAATTATAACATTGAAATTCTAAAAGTGCCTGTGCTGCTGGATTAGATTCAATGGGTTAACTTGCTGCAATGAGGATCCAGCTTAATCAACAGCATTAAAAGCTTATCTTACTTATTTGTTTCTTTGGCAAATAGAGCTTCAATTGCAGACATACACAAGAAAAACAGTGCACATCCAATATTTACAATGAAATTTAAAATTAAGTGAATAATAAGGAAACCACCGATGCCAAAATACAGCAGTCTGCTATTGCCCCTAAGGCACTGTAACATCACAAGTGTCTATCTGCCTATCCAGAACAAGTATTTAAAAGTTGGATTTAAAAATCTAAAGGATTTCAGCTGCATAGAATGGGGGTAATGAACAATGTCTTATGTTGAATCTACCTGAAACACCAGATAGCTCTACGATCTAGCTGGTTAACTAACACCATGATATATAATATATTATTACTGATTCAAGAGACTTACATGGTTAGTAATCTTATGTATTATAATTCTGGGTATCTCACAGCAACAGCACTAAGAACATAAAGAAGCAGTAAAGATAAACAAGACCAATTAAAAGCATCCTAAAACAGCCAACATTAAAAAATCTCACCCTACCTCAATGTCTGGGTAGATTATAAACCTCCTTATGAAGCAAAAGTACAGATGCTTAAGAACAGCAATATAAGTTTACATTTTTATTGCTACCAAATATTAAGTTATGTATTTATTGCTTCCTTCACTCTTTCTCTCTCTCCCACTTCCTCTGTGGTATTGGAGATCTACCTGCATCTTGATAGCTATAATATCCTGTCATCCCTCACATTATTTAGCTGTCTTCAGGTATGACAAAGGATGATATCCAATCATTTTTTGTTAGGAAAAAAAATCTTTTCTGAACCTTGTGACATGCAAAACATTAAGACAGAGAAAAAGTGACTATAACTCATTTAAGAAATTGATATAGTAAGAAATTGATGCATATAAAGCACTTCAACAACACCATTCAATAAAAACTCACAGCATAACTTATAATAATAATGCAATTCCAAATGAGTAAAGTAGCAAAAATAGGATTAAAACGTTTCCAGTTTTGAGCTTCCCCGAAGACGGACTGCTGACCGTGACTGTGCGTGGCTTTGGTCCATGCTTCAGGGTCGGAGAGCCCCGATCCTTTGGTTTTTGGGGCAGAAGCTGCCTCATAGGGGTTGCAGAGGAAGGAGAGACTGTCAGCTGGGTAGAGGGGAGTTGCAAATCCCCTCCCTGGCTTGGCATTTACTCTCTCCTGAAGACACCTGAAGCGGTGGTCTAAAATGGCCACCCTGAAGGGGAAGATTAGACTGGAATAAGATTGTACAGGAGAGAGACAAAGAAGCAAACAGCAGGAGGAACAGGATGATATAATTAAATGGAAGATACCCCCAGGATTAACATTTTAAAGAATTTTTAAAAAAGGATTTAAAGCGGCGAAGAGAAAGAGGAAAAAAAGTGTGAATTGCTTTTGACAGCGGCAGAACTTTAAACTGTGAAAGGTAGAAGCTGGAGCAGGAATCATATAATCAATTTGGATAAGTATATTTTGATTCTATACAGGCATCAATAAAGCTGAACTATAGACTGTTAAAGAGGAAATTAATATCAATTGGATTTATGGAAAATGCGATTGCAGAATATGAACAACAAAGATAAAAGGCAGAAGAGGAGGCAGAGCAAATTAGAGAAGGGGTCATCTTTAGTGATCATCGAGAACAAAGAACTCTGGAAAGAAAGAGGAAAAGAGTTGGAAATAAATATAGTAGATGTAAGAAATTCAATAAAAAGGGGAATATCTGAAAAATTAAAAAAGGGAAAAAGAGTCAGCAGAAATTCAAGGGTGGAAGGAAGCTATAAATAGAGAGGGGGATAAAAACTGGAGTGAAAGAAGAAAAAAGAAAAGACAAAGGAGGAAAGGGGACAAGAAACAAAATTTGGGAAGAAAGCAATATGGGAATTATTAAAAAAATGAGAAAATTGTTTAATTAGACATAGAGACAATAGGTGATTAATATTTAGCAAGGTGATTCTGCAAGGTACTAGGAGGTAATATAAATTCATAGTTATGAAATAGGGACATATAGATTGATAAGATGGAAAAGAGAATTGTTATTTTTTGATAATGGAATTTAATGCTCTTCTTTATGCATAGAGATAATTGTAATAAATAATGGAATAAGCTTATTAAATATATAATGAAATATTTTTAGGATTGGAATGTTGGCTTTTTTGGTTTAAATGTGAATGGAATAATTAATGGAATATGTGTATTAAATATATTGAAATAATTGAAATGATATAGGAGGAGAGCTGAAATGGAATTACCTTTAGGGTTTAGGATTGTTTTATTGTTTGAATGAGTAGATTAATATGTCCTACTTTTCTGAAAAATTTAATGAAATTAAAAAGGGGAAAAACCATACAGAATCTGATTTATATATGCTATGTAGTTTTAAGGGGATTATTAAGTTTAATGTTTTAGGTAATAATGCTAAATGTTTAATGAGATTTAAAAGGGGTGAAAATTAATGAATATGTTGAAATTAATATGTAATTTAGAGGTGGAGCACTTATATTGATATTTCAAGGGGGAAACCAATTTATAGAAGTGTTTTTTTAATTAGAATTTAAGATGAAATATACAAATGTGACAGTTTAAAGTACTAAAGTATAATGATTATGAACCTAACATAACGTGAATTAAATAATGAGATAAATATTTGGAATAATATAATAAAATAGAAAATGTATAAAAGCTTTGTAAGGAACTGGATACAAAAATTGAATATGTAACTATGGTCATATTTGCATGTATATGTGAAACCTGTAATCATGCTGTTCACTAAAAAGAGATGTTATAATGTGGAAAACTGAATAAAACTTGATTTTTTAAAAAAAGGATTAAAACAAAAGTGTTCAACAAAACAGATGCAACTGTTAATTGAAACCAGCATATAGAATGAAATAAAAAGACCATTTGTCCTATACTGAAATGATATCAAATCTGATCTATTTTCCTGCAAAAGAGAATCCATAGATGCAGAAGCTTAGACAAAAAAAGCCATCTTTTTTGTCACAAAAACTGTACTGGGGAGAGACCAAACATAGTAGGCCTCTAGTGATGACTGCAAAATCTAATGGCAGTATTTCCTTCAAACCGAATACTTCTGTAAAAGGTATTCAATGTAAACACACATAGTGTCCAAAATTCAGTGGTGCGATTTAACTAGTGTAACAACCGTTTCGGTGAGCACGCGCTTTGCATGCGCATGCACCAAACGCACACTGCGTGTGGCCCCAGCATTTAGAAAAGACAATTTTTAGCTATGATACTTACCTTCTGCTGCAGCCCCAGTGAGTAAAACAGCTGATGCACGGCAAACCACTCTGCCTTGCAAAACAGCTGTGCTCAAAAACAAGGAAATAAAGCACAGGAAAAGGGCAGGGGTAGGGCCAAATGATCACCAGAACTACCGGTTTACCCGAACTGGTCTGAACTGGTAGAATCCCATCCCTACCAAAATTACAATCCGCAGTTGCTATTTTGAAATCTCTCAGCCAACTCCCTAATCAGGCAGTAGAAGAAAACAAGACATATACAAAAGCTTCAACATTTCATTTGCTAAGGCTCTTTCTTGTTTTTCAACTTTCAGTTTGAAACAAGCAAGGCTTAACTCAAGGTCTTCAAACTTGGCAAGTTTAAGACTTATGGACTTCAACTCCCAGAATTCCTGAGCTAACAAGACTGGAGGAGGAATCCTGGGAGTTGAAGTCCACAAGTCTTAAAGCTGTCAAGTTTGAAAACCCGCCTTAACTCACTGTAAAACAAAACATCCTCAGAATATTGTAAAACAATTAAACACTCATCAGGCTTCCAAATCCTATCACTTGAATGAATTAAGAGTTTAATGTTATGCAAGTGGCACACCTTTGGACTACAAATATTCTCACATTTTTGATGTGTCAGATACAAGGCAGAAGAAAGTGACTTTTTTAAAGGGGAAAAAAAAGCCTGCACATTAATTGAGTCATAAAAAGGGAACTTTTCTGATGGACACTCAAGGTGATATTGTGTTTAGGAGTCTGGATTAGACTGGAGAAGACCATGGTTCAAATTTTTATTTGGCCATGGTGCTCAAAGGAAATAATATCTCGCCCAAACTACCACTGAGGATTATATGAAGATACATCTTTGTGAACAAGCTACTCATGAAGTAAAATAAAACAAAAACTGAGCATGGAACTTACTGGTTGCAATATCCCCTTGAAGTTGAAGAATCTGTGGGACAGGCATTGTGAGAATAACTGTATCAAAGCAGTCAGAAAAGCCTGTACTGGTACCCACTTCCCACTTTCCATCTTTGAGGCAGATTTGAGTAACATGATGATTGTAGAAGACATCTGCGTCTGCTGAGAAAGAAAGAAATAAGCTAACAGATGCTACAATCCCCTTGGAGTTAGGCGGCTAATAAATTTATTTATTTATTTAGATTTATCAATTGCTTACAAAATAATAGGTGTTGGGTATATGGATACTCCAACTGGTTTGGGTGAATAAATATATG